ATATATATACTTTATGGGGTCTGCGATGATTCCTTCTGCCTGTTACATACTTTTACACAAAAACATTATACCCTGATTTCCCATTTTCAATGGGTTCAGGGTATAAAAATAAATAAATTTAGTTAGTAAATAAATTAATTTTTAATTTCGAAAGCCCTATGAATCCTCTGCAAGTACATTGTTAGAATATTAATGAATACTTCAATTTGCATGTCTAACAAAAAATATTTAGTTGTAGTGATTGCGTTTGCTTGCTTTATTTATTTTCGTTGATGTTTTATAATTTTGTATAATTTTTTGTTGTATTGTATTTATTTGTGTCTAGCACATTGTGCACCGTATTCGTAGTTATGTTTGTCAAATGTCGAGTGCTTAATTAAGTTTCGAAAAAAGAAAGAAGAAGCTAAACCAAATCACGCTACTAAAATGCCTTGCACCAAAAGCTTGAAGTGGGATATGAAAATGCCGCCGCGTGCAATGGGGAAAGAGAGGAGGAAGCTGAGGAACTTTACAACTGCCCAGCATGTGCATGTGTTAATTAGGAGAGTTAATGACAACTAAGCCACTTTTAAAACATCATTTAACGGCATGCCCCGAAAGTGAGCTTCAAGTGCCACCCAAAAAACAAACCAGAAAAAAAAGCAAACCACACCACAGCGACTAGAAAGTTAATGCTTCATCTCCCGCACGCACCACCCCCGCCTCCTTTCCATCTCACACACACACTCTCATACAGCAAACGAACCAGCAACAACGAATTGCGGGCAGTTCCAAGCGGCGTTCATATTTTTGGCTTCATTTTTGGTTGCAAGTTCCACCTGCCGCTAACACTGAACTCGCTCGCTCTCTTTCATTCTCTCTCTCTCTCTCTGTCTTTCTTTCAATTTGTTTCTCCCACCCCGTTTGCCAGTTGCTACTTACTAACTCTCTGTGCTGTTTTATTAGCGTTAACCTTTGAACTCTCTAACCCGTCACACTCTAACTGTCTGTCTGTCTGTCTCGTCTTGGTTTGCAGGCTGCGGCATTTCACTGGCCAAGCAGACCGCCCAGCGCCGCATTGTGGGCGGCGACGATGCCGGCTTTGGCTCCTTTCCCTGGCAGGCCTACATACGCATTGGCTCCTCCAGGTAAGCGCACCACCCACCACCGCCTCTTCTTCTTCTTCTTGCCTCCACAAATTCACATTCGCTGCGCTGTTGCAGATGTGGCGGCTCGCTGATCTCGCGTCGTCATGTGGTCACCGCCGGGCATTGTGTGGCACGTGCCACGCCCCGTCAGGTGCACGTCACGCTGGGCGATTATGTCATCAATTCGGCCGTTGAACCGCTGCCCGCGTACACCTTCGGCGTGCGCCGCATCGATGTGCATCCCTACTTCAAGTTCACGCCTCAAGCGGATCGCTTCGATGTCTCCGTGCTGACTCTGGAGCGCACAGTGCACTTCATGCCACATATAGGTATATAAAATATACTCTTTCTTATCCAGTGCATCTCTTGACTCACTTCACATCTGCCACAGCGCCCATTTGCCTGCCGGAGAAGAACGAGGACTTTCTGGGCAAGTATGGCTGGGCCGCCGGCTGGGGCGCCTTGAATCCGGGCTCCCGCCTGCGTCCCAAAACTCTGCAAGCTGTCGATGTGCCCGTGATTGAGAATCGCATCTGCGAGCGCTGGCATCGACAGAATGGCATCAATGTCGTCATCTACCAGGAGATGCTGTGCGCCGGCTATCGCAATGGCGGCAAGGACTCGTGCCAGGGCGATTCCGGCGGCCCGCTGATGCATGAGAAGAACGGCCGTTGGTATTTGATAGGTGAGTACCGATTGGGTTACGCTAGCAGACAAACTCCTAACTTGAATATTTGCTATATTCCAGGCGTTGTCTCGGCGGGCTATTCCTGTGCATCGCGTGGACAGCCGGTGAGTTCTTGACTACCCTATCAAAGCTGAACTCGACTTGAGCTAACCTTCAAAAATTCCTCTCTTGTAGGGCATCTACCATCGCCTGGCCTACACGGTGGACTGGGTATCCTATGTGGTTGGCCTCACAGTCAACATCTAAGCTATGCCCTGTCGTCTCATATTTATTTGAAACCCAACGCTTCAGAGCTCCAGCTTGCAGAATGCCCTCCATTAAGTGGAGTGCAAACGTTTTGTACATAATTCACTTTCCCAGCTTCCGCATCTATCGACTTTTCGCATACTTTGTTTTTAATTCTTATTTATATATTTAATGATTTTCAAAAAGAAAAAAACTTGCGCAGCGCAAGAATGATTAGGAGGAGGAGACGGAAACTGCGTATATTAGAGCCTAGGAATGACAACGCATATATCTCTAGTTACGATATATGTACATCTATGGGATATTCGATATGGGATATTCTGGTTAAGCGATTTTCAAAATACACTTTAAATTAATTATTAATTAATTGACTTAGTCATATGCGCTGTTACGTAATTTTAAACTATTTATGAACTAATTGTGTGTAAATAAATTATGTAAATGTTGAACAACAAAACAAATAAAACAAAATCCAATCGATGTTTATTATATTTTAGACCAGACATTTAGTTAACATGTAAAACGAAAAATTGAGGCTGCAGCTACTACCTAAGTATTAGTATGTATTTATGGCTTGAATGGAAACGGGGGCATATATAAGGGCGAATATGGAACGCCAGAGGCAAAGACGTGCTCAGCATCCTGACAGAACTTTGCATTGCGTAAATTCTGCTCTTGCATGACGCGGAACAGAGTAAAGACCTCATGATAGATTTTATAATAGAGCACTACGTTGGATTATTAATATATACATAATTTTAATATATATATATAATATATATATAAAGAAGACTTACCCAACACAAGCGTAAAGACCAACAAGCACATTAAGAAACTAGACAGGTCTATAAATAAGCCAGCCAGGGCGTAGAATATGCCTATGTAGAGGCTAAAGCCAAACACAACGCCATGGAAAATCAACCAAGGATACAACGGGCCGCTCGAGTCCTGTTAGGATGAAAAGAAGGAGTTGGAGAAATGTTTAGCAGAAGAGAACTCCTATCGATTCCCTCCTCTACTCCCTCTCATACGCACCCGAGCCACACCAATCAACAGGAGGAGGCTGACGCCCAGGTTAATCAAGGACATGCCGTAGGCAACTGTGCTGAAAGCAGCCAGTACTAGAGATCAGAAATGTAGATGATATGGACATATTCTTAAAGCACATCAAACCAAACTCATACATACGATTCATTAACAGCTGTATTTCCTTATCGTTTGCCTGCTGTAGCAGGATTTGCTTGACCAACACTTCGACATCGGCCTGCATATTGACGAGCACCATGGAACTGAAGATCATCACGCTCGATATGATGACGCCCAGCCAGCCTATGATGATGGCGTTGTACTTGAGATTCTGGCACTGCACATACGCGACGCTGCTGGCGTGTGCGGCCACAAGACCCTGGGTGGCAGCTTTGGCTGCTTGTGGATTGCAGGCCATGGTGCAACAACAAACAATTTAAAATTTCGATTTCTAGCTAGATTAATATATTTCTAAAAAAAAAAAAAAAATAAAATGAAATTTCTATAATATATATATACAGTATATCTTCTATGTGTATATATATATATATTCTACAACTATGAATCGAAATTGGAAATAAATATTTCTATTGATGTGGTGAACTACTTCTAACTGAAGCAAAACGGTGTTTGTCGAGAAGTTTGTGAGTTTCTGAAGTATTTGAGTATTTGATGTGTGATTTGTTTTGTGTGCGTCTCTCGATTGTGTGACTTGGCCAGCTATTTGACAGCTAAGCGATACGCCTGCTGATCAATAGAATCAAACAAGATAAACATATTTTATATGCTAATGCTGCAGAGCATCATCAATAAGAGTTTGCGTTTTAGAAAGTTACATAAAAGAATGCTGCGCCCCAGCCCCAGCCCCTGCCCCTGCCCCTGCCTCAACCGACACGCTGTTAACCCAAAAAAAAAAAACTAAAGAAGTTGTTTTAGTTAGAATTGCTCTCATTTCCTGCATGGAAATAGGTAAATATGTTGCATGCATGCTTTGCAATTATGTCGCATAAAATAATTATAATTCAAACATTTCCTGCGTTTCGTAATAATTAGCCAGAGATTGCATTTGAGAACTAGAGCCCAAGATCAAGATATGTAAACATGTGTGTGTGTGTTCGCTCAAGATGCCAACCAGTTGCTGAGAAGAAGCTCTCACAGCTGAAAGCTAAAACACTTTGGCTACAGCTTGGCACCCAGTTTGATTCTGGCCAGCATTGCGTGCGGTTGTCGCTGCTGCCGCCGCCGTTTTAGCCAATTCTCGCGTAGAACGCTATCTGTGCGCGTGTGTGTGTGTTGAGCCATGCCACAATTGGCAGCATGTGTGAAACTCTGTGTGGCTGCAATTGAAAATTGTGCCAACGCCTGATGCATTGACACAGTTATTATTTAAAAGAAGTAGAAAAAAAAACCAAAAATATATATAGGCGACCCATTTAGCCAGAGAAGACGTTGCGACAAGGACGCAAGCGGCTTTGCATTTAGCCGCTAACAGTGTGAATCATTCAACCCAACAATAACAACAACCACAAAGAGTAGTAAAAGTGGAGCAGCAATAATAAGACATCTAAGTAGAAATAACAGCAGCAAGCTGCTAGCTCCAAATGGTAAAGCAGAAGATATCAACAACAATAACAACAGCAGCAACAACAACAACGACATACAAGTGAATAAGAAATTGTCATGCTTTCATTAACAGCAACAATAGCGGCGACAACAGCAACAAATCAAAACACAAATTTAGCTGTCAGCAAATTGTGTTAAACGCCCACCGAAAACAGTGACTGTGGTGCTGTGAGTGTCTCGGTGCCTGTGAAGCGTACACGCTTAAATCGTGACTCGAAATGCGACATTCATTTGGCTATTTATTGCTGCTGTGGCTGTGCCTGCACCTCTGTCAATTTACGCTGCTGCAGGCGAGTAAGTAATTCGCAATCCGTAGCTAATCCTCGCCAGCGATAGTGATCCAAATACTCCATATACTCCCTCCCACTTAGGCATTCTTAACACACTGCTGGGCGTGCCCACCGAGTGTGTGCATCAGAGCGGCGTTTGGCCCTGCAAGCTGAGCTTCTCCTGCTGGCTGCAGGGCGGCAGGCATGCCAAGGGCTGCGGCAGCAACAAATGGCTATTCAGCTGCTGCATTGCCGAGCCGCCGCAGCATCTGCATCAATCGCCGCTGGAGAATCTGGTGGACTATGGCAAGCTGAAGATGGGCCTGAACAGCTTGCCCAAGCGCATTATGCTGCGGCGGCGCGATGATAACGACCTGCTCAATCTAAAGGTAAATGCTTTGAGTGGCTGCAGCGCCGCGATTACACTAGACAACAAGGGCAAGCTGTGTAGAATATATTGCTTATAAGTGACTCTGAGTCAAGATAGAGAGATAAGAGTCGCAAAGCTATAAAAGCTTGTAGTAAAATCAATAAAATGAGTGCCAGAAAACATATTTTAATTTACGAGCATTTATATAGAAAGTTTTTATGCTTAAGATACTTTGCTTAAAAAATACTATATCTAAATGAGAATCGGAAATAAATTACGGCAAAGAAAAGATTATAGTGTGAGATGAAAGCGAGAAATAGGAATATTAAGATTGTGTGATAGGGAGAGGCTTCTGGAAGTTTATAAAATTTATAAGCACATAGAAGATAATATTACTTAAGAGAACCGTTTCATTAAGTTTAGTAGGGAGAATAAACTCACATAAGATTCAGTTGAAGAGCCCATTAACATGCAACTGTAATTATATTTTTAAATGTATATGCACTTAGGTCTAATATATAGTAGTATTATTTACCATATAATAGTAGAGTCTATTATGAAAGATTGTGTAAAACTGCTGCGAGTCTCTTACAACAGATTGTGCAAGAGTTCTTTGAGGCAGCACAGCTATCCTGATGTATTTTTCAAGAGTTCATTTCCAAGCTCATCAAGTGCACAGCGTGTGAGCTGAGCTAACAATAAGACAATTGAAAAACTAGTTTTTCTGCTGTTGTTTTTTTTTTTTTAATATTTTTTCTGTGTCTGTGAATTCAGTGTGCCCAATGCCATCATCAATTATGCAGCTGCACAGTTATACATTATTGACTAATCAGTTTTCTTCTATTATATCTGCCTCCAGCCGGAATGTGGATTGCCGCGCATAGCGCAGAACACGCTGCAGAAGCGCATTATTGGCGGTAGACTGGCACAGTTTGCCGAGTATCCGTGGCTGGCGCACATACGCATTGCGGAGTATCAGTGTGGCGGTGTGTTGATATCGGCGAATATGGTGGCAACGGCGGCGCATTGCATACAGCAGGCCCAGCTGCCCGATATAACGGTGTATCTGGGCGAGCTGGATACCCAGAATCTGGGGCATATACAAGAGCCGCTGCCCGTGGAGAAGCACAGCGTGCTACAGAAGATAATCCATCCGCGCTTCAACTTTCGCATCACACAGCCGGACCGCTATGATCTGGCGCTGCTTAAGCTGGCCCGGCCGACGGGTTTCAGCGAGCACATCTTGCCCATATGCCTGCCGCAGTATCCCATACGGCTGGTGGGGCGCAAGGGACTGATAGCCGGCTGGGGCAAGACGGAAGCGCATATGGGTCATGCGGGCACCAACATGCTGCAGGTGGCCAGCGTGCCAATCATATGTGAGTACAGTGTACACAGAGTTTGAAAGACACCTTTACTCTATTTATACCTTACTCTATGCACAGCCACCCTGGATTGCGTGCGCTGGCATGAGAGCAAACAGATCAGTGTGGAGATCAAATCGGAAATGTTTTGTGCCGGTCACTCCGATGGACACATGGATGCGTGTTTAGGTGAGCGAGGGAGAGAGATAGAGAGCGCGAAACTTTTTGTTGCATACTTTTAGGCGCGACATTAACAGAACGCTGTTAATGGTTTAGCAGAGCTGCGAGTAGATTAACAGAAGTTTGTGGAGTTTCTAAGCGAGTTTGCTGACATTTGACATTTAGAAGAGTTTCAAGAAACTTAATGTAGTAAATTGTTAATAGATCTGACAGTTATGTAACTATATATGCTACATCTTATTGTTTATCGTGTGGTATGATAAATGAACACAAAATATCGTTTATAAAGCAGACAAGTGAAACGGTAACACAGTCAAAAGCAATTCTTGTTTATCAAAACTCTTTTGTAACTTCCTTCCCTCTAGCACGATCTAGAATAACACTTTAGAATATGAAAAGCAAAGTAAAAGTACATAAGGCCAGCAAAGTGTTTCAAGTTTGCTTTCAACTAGGCCAGCCTCAACTAAAACTACTCTCACTCATTTGGGCAAAATATTATACCTCATATAAATCAAATTAATTGCCTTCTACACAGGTGACTCGGGCGGTCCGCTGGTCATCAAAGAACATGGTCGCTTCGTGCTGGTGGGCATTACGAGCGCCGGCTTTGGCTGTGGCGTGGATCACCAGCCCGGCATCTATCACAATCTGCAGAAGAGTCTGCGCTGGGTGGAGGATGTGGTGAAGCGCAATGAGCCATAGGGCACGGCAGCTACAACAAATCATGTGGCAGACTGAAATGGGCGCCCGACACCCGACTCGACCCCTGGATGTGGCAGCGCAATCTCATTAGTTTATGGCGTCTAACATTAAGCAATGGCCTGTGCAATGACAGCAACAACAACAACAACAACTACAGCAATAATATTAACAACATATGAAATTACAAATTACAATTTATTAGATATATTAAATATTATTATGTAGCTATTGTAAGTGGGTCTAGTTGCCTTATTTGTGTGGGTGTTTAGGTGGCACAACCGACGACCTTGAACGATGGTTGCAACTGTGCATTGGGAATTTTCAATTGGAATTACGCACTTTACAGCACGTAAAACAACAATAACAATAACAATAAAAATTTGCTTTGTTATGTCATTTGGCATTCGCTGTGCTGGCCCATTTCCCATTTAGTGTTCGCCGCTGCCATAAATGGCACAATCAACTGCTTTCAACTCAACAAACAACCAGCTACAGCAACAACAGCAACAGCGGCAACAACAACAAACAGAAAATAATCATAATTTGTACATTAAACACATTAAGCCTGGGCCAGAGTCAGAGTCTCCAGCTGAGTGTCATCTGCCAATTGCCCAATGCTAGTGCTTAAATTGTGTTACGTTTGCTTTACATACCCTAGACTTGTCAGAAAAGGGTTACAAGGCTATGCTAAGCGTGTGAAAGTGATTGTGTTGACAAGCTGATAAGGCTTATGAGTGAAAAATATATCTAAAAATAAATGTTTACGCTTGCTTTCCATTTAGAGCTTATTGTTGAAAATCGATCTGAACTCGAAATTATATTCACCTAAGTAGTCTTTTTTACTGTGGGGTACAATTTACAATATTTATTTTATTAGCAATTTTGATGTTAAAATAAAATTTTTTTTTTGAAGAGAGTTATTAAAATAAATGAAGTACATTTTTAAATTTATATATGTATTTATAATACAAATTTATTTAGATTTGTTTTTCATATTTATTTTTATTTTGCTTAGCTTAGATATTTCATTGTCAATCAACTAATTAATATTTTTTGTAGAATTTTATAAAATCCATTTTTTATTTTTATTTTTATCAACAAAATTTTTTTTTAATTTTACGTTAAATTTCTTCTTTTTTTTAATATTTCATTCACAATTCTTTTATGAATTTCCATTTTCGTTTATCAATTAAATTATATAATTAATATTTTATGTTCAATATCAATTTAACAATTATATTTTTTTCAATTTTTTGTTATCAACTAAATTATATAATTTTTCCCATCAATTATTATGATCGGCTTACTATAAATAATTTTCATTTTCTTTTCACATAAATACCCTAAACTACTGCACTCTCACTTTATTTAGTTGCAGTTTATACCAAATTTCAGGGTATTCGCTTAGTCATGCATCAATGATCTATAATTTGTAATAGGATTGTTGCATTGTCTTATAAATTGATTGTCTCTCAAGTGTGTCATCAATTTTGTGGCCAATTATTATTCAATAGTTATCCATGAACTCATCAAGCCGACTTTGGTTCCCAACCCCATCAATTATTTAGGCTTTATTCGTTTTGATGGCGCTTTTCAATATTTCCACAAGGCATGCGGAGTGGAGAGCTGTTGCAGCGAATTTTTCACGCTTGAGAGATGAACTCGAAATAAGATGTGTTGTGCGCGCGTCGCTTTTGGCTTTCGCTTGGCTGCCTTGGGCTGCCAGAGAGCCAGCAGAGTCAGCCGAGTCGCGTCTGCTGCTGGTTTTTCCTGTTGCAATTTGTACAATTTGTTGATTTTTCTTTTCGACTACAATTACATTTGGCAGCCCACTAAATTGCTGCCAGCATGTGAGGTGCGAGTAAGACAATTTAACTTCCTCTTGTTTCATATATCGCAGAGCCACTGGCTCTGTGAGCTCTAAATTTGACATTAGTCATGGTAGCAACAGCAGCAACAACAATAACAGCAACAGCAACAGCTAAGCGACATGCGACATGCAATTGCCAAGTGAGCGACAAAAGTTGCTGCTGTCTCTGCTCGGAGGCCACGTCTTGTTTTGTCTGTTTCTTTTCACTTTCGATTTCAATGCGAGTGTAACTCTCCGCACACTCACACACACATACACACACAGACACAGAGACACACGCGCACGCTTGAGAGTCTCCGTTTCACACTCTTTGGCGCATATTACTCAATAGCGAACGTCTCTGCGGCTGCTCCACGCCGCTCGACGCTGCTGCGTGCGTGTTGGTGAGCGTGTTGATGGCCTTTTTGATTTTGAATTTGTCAGCCAACTGTTTATTAAGTGTTTTGACGTTACCGCAAACTGTTCGCAAACGCAAAGCCCACCGCAAGGCAGTCGAACACGAACAAAATAAGAAAATAAAAAAATCAGCTCACAGAAATATACGGCAACAGTAACAGTAACACAGCCGAAACCACAACGAAAATTTCCAACAAAAGTCTTTTTCAAGAAAAAGTGCGTGACGCGTACAAAATATGTTAAAATATTAAAATGGCCGCGAAATAAATGCACTGGGTCTTATTGCCAAATATTAAGCTAAGTGGGCTGCGCGAATTTTGTATTTAATTCAATCTGAGCTGCGCTGCCTGCCGTCTGCTATGCAAACGAGTGATTATTCAATCAAAAACTCGCGCCGCTACGTGAATTAAGTGAAACACACAATTGCACAAAATCGCAGACAAACCAACAACAACTACAGCAACAACAACAACAACGGCAGCAACAGCAACACCAGCAACACCAACAACACCAACAACAACGACAACGAAAGTATTGCAAAATGCGCGCAGTTGCATGGCTGCTGCCGCTGCCAACGTCGCTGCTGCTGCTGCTGCCAACTCTATTGCTCGGCCTGGACGCTGCCCACAGCAGCTACAACTCCGTCTACAATGATGTGATTACGCCGGAGCTCAAAGAGGCCATTGATAAGGATTTGCCCAAGCAGGCAAAGTTCTTCGATGAGCTCGATTGTAAGTATGCAAGTTTGTTGCCTAAGTCTTTTGTTTGGATTGCCTAGGGCAGAATATGCCAGATATTTCTTCTTTTACATAAGAGCGTGATTAAACATGTCAGCAGACAATGTAAAAGTGTGTCACCCAAGTCTTTATTAAAAATTACACTAAATTACTCTTCCGCTCATCACGCCCTTCACACAAATTGTGCACATGCAAGTTATCTAATGCTTTTGCCAAAACAAGAGCAAGTTCGTTGCCTAAGTCTTTCGTTTTTGGCAAACTGCGAAAACATGAGCATGCGTTTCAATTACATAATTAACATATTAGTTAACCTTGAACATAGAAATCACACATCGATACGATGTCAAGTTCACATGACTCACGACACGATTTCAACGATGCCAAATCGGAATAAACCCAGGCGAAAGTGAGTTAGTAAGCGCCCTTACGCATGTATAATGCACGTATATCGTGTTCTTGGCCTGCCCAAGCTGTAAGCCGACTTCATTCATCTTGCAAGCGCGCACAGCTTTAATTGGACTTTCCAAAAAATAAAAACAAGACAAGGCATCCAATTAGTTTGAGAAACGCACGTCCAAAGCTAAGAGCCAGAGCTAAAATTTGTGCGGTAATTATTTACACACAGCCACAGCCGACATTAACATATGGCCCATTCTGCGCCCCAATGAAAGCGCATTATGCTCCATTAAAACAATTAAAAGAAAATATTTGTGGAAGATGAAGAAGAAAACAACGAAATGGTCAAACAAAAAGTAAGAGCTGCATATGATAAAGAAAAGATATGGAGGCAAATATCAAATCATGCGCAAATTGCAGCCCAAGTTCAATGGCATTCGCCATGTAATATAGAAAAAGCAAAAGTCTTTTTTTTCTGCTGGTGTCGCTTATCTCTATACACACATATATACCAATGCAAGTCAAGAGCAGGAAAATCAACTGCAATTAACGACAATTGCAGCGCTTGCCGACATTCGAAAGTGTTAAACAACAACATGTTATATGCCATAGATTATAGATTATTTGTGCAGAGAGCACTCATAATAGAGCAGCTACCAAAAACCTTGACCAGAAAAAAAAACAATAACGAAAAAAACGAAAAAAGAAAGAAAACATCGAAATCAAAGTCAAAACTTGGTCGCTCGGCAACATGTTGCTGAGCGTCGTTGGCAACATGTTGCCGCTGCTCTTTCTTTCAAGCCGCTCTCGGTGGTCTCACACGTCTTCGGCTCGGCTGGTGAAATGGCGAAATGCGAGCAAATGTCTTCGGCTGCTTCGACGCAGCGCAAACACAAAACTTTGGCTTAGTTCTGAGCTGAATTTCCCGACGTGCGGTCGACATACGAGACGCGCTGTGCTCTCATAGGCTACGCTATATGTAACAGACAACAACCAGCAGCAACAACAATTTTCTTTTCGTGCGTCGTTGCGCATGCGTAGCTGCTGATATTATAAATAAAAGTGAAATCCTGCTCGTGTTTTTTGTATTAATAAAAATAATACTAAATATACAATTAAAAGTGTAGCACAGGATAGCTACGCATACGAATCCAAATCAAAATCAAAAAGAAAGTGAACGCCAACAAGTGCTGTGCGAAAGTGAAAGTACCCGTTCGCCTGTCGCGAACTCCTCGGCAGGAGTCGGCCCCAGCCATGTCGCGGGCACGAACATATACCTATTATCGCATAAAGGATAAATGGCTCGGCCTGCTGCTCATCTGTGTGCTCACGCCCAACAGCGTGTGCGCCGTGGGCTATCCGACAGCACAGCAGGAGCACGACATGCTCATACTGGATGCCCTGTCACGGCGCAGCGGCACCGGCTATTACGGCGAGAACAGCGTCATGGAGATGCTATCCAGAAGTACACAAGCTCACTTGAACTGCAGCAATTTGACTATTGACTTTGTCTCTTTCCCCAACACACACACACACACAGAATGTTAAGGTGTCTGTGCGTGTGTGTAAGTGCGTCCGATCCCAACTAATGTCCATTATTTTGGTGTCTTTGCAGTGATACCGCAGTCGTGCCGCTTCCGTGGCCACAAATTCGAGTGCGGCCTGTCCATCTCGTGCGTCTTGGGCGGCGGCAAACCTCTCGATCTCTGCTCCGGCGGCATGATCTGGTCATGCTGTGTGGACAAAGATCTCGACGCCGAGGAGAGTCCCCATGCGGCGCCGATCAACAATACAAGTGAGTCACAGTAACCAAGTTCTAACAGGCCTAAATCGCTGGGAAATCCGCTACCCATCCAAAAGACAACCTCCATTCCCGCTTCCCAATTGGGTTCGCCATGCTTAGTTAGATGTTAGAGCATTTGCTGCTGCTGCTCTTTTGCTTGGCGGCGAGCACACAAATTGCAAATTGCTGCGCTTCGGCTTATGCAATGCCCTGTATAATAGCGCAATAAATTAGTTCGCATTTCGAAAATGACAACAAATTGCTCGACTTTGCCTGCAAATACACACACACGCACACCAGCTAACATATGTCTGCAGGGGCAGATGTGCTGCAAATGCATTACCAAATTCCATTCGCTGCACTTTCAAGCAGTGGGCGCTGAACTGGAAGGTGTCAATGGTGGCCCATTAAATAGATCGTTCAGGCTACGAACTGCACATTAAGGCTGTAGGAAGTCAGTGGGAAATTCAATTACAAAACGAAAATTGATGAAAATTGTATTACTGTTGGGTTTATTATTATTATATGAGGAAATATGTATTTATTGTAAGCAGCCGCCTATTCTTCTCAATTAACAAAAAATATGTCCTATATCTACAAATTTCATTAGGAAAAGTTCTCTAAGCACAGATTATGCTTCATATCTGCCACAGATTACGAAAGTTGAGCTCTCCATGCTAATATACTTCTGCATTTAAAGCTCTTATATTTAAGCAGATATTCGCTATATTTGAATTTAAGTCCATATAGAATCTATCGATAAAACGTATATATTTGATTAGTTAAAAGGCTATACGAAAGGTATCCCTAGAATTACCTAGATATAGGAGATTCTTGTGCTTTAAAGCCAGCTTTTTATAGTGATTAAACTATATGCAAAATTTTACAGGAAGTGAAAGAATTCAATAGCGAATGCTTTATTAATGAATTGTATTTAATTTGTAAAAATAAATGTTATTTTATATTATATGATTTTAATATACATATATTACTACATATTAAATACAATTTCATAGCTTCCACAACCCCAAGCTGTTAATGCCTTCTCTGCTTTACTTCATAATTTTTTCGCACTTCACATTTTTGGCTACAAAATTGATTTTATACCAATTCAATTACCATCAAGTGCATTCGCTGTATCGTAATCTTGGCCAACGCCAGCAACCAAAAAACATTATGCCACACACACACACACATACAAACACATGAGCACGCACGCTGAGGCACGCTTGTCTAGCAGCTGGTTGTGCTCTGTTTAGCTTTCTAGGCTGGCCATAAAAATGTGCAACAAAAATAAAAACTAAAAACAAAAAAAAAACACACACATTACAAAATGTTGTAAATAATTCTAAGTGGAAATTTTTTAAGCAGCCCAATTTAAACCCCAATTTTATATGTATTTTTCACATATTTTTCTCTTTTTATTTTTTTGTTTAATTTTCGTAAAGCTCTTTAAGTAGCGAGTTCTGTTTTGCGTAGTCACTTTCTTTAGGGGGAAAAGGTCTTTTGGGAATTTTCAGTTGTTTTTTTGTTATTGTTGTTTTTACTTCTGTCTGCGTGTCGCTCAAGTGTAACATTTTTCAGACCTCGGATGCGACAATGAAAAGACCCAAAAACAAAATCGGTTGCGGAAATAAACGAAGGTGAACGTTTTTGCATTTTAAAAGTGAAATTTCACGTTGGCTGCGCCTTTTGCCCAGAGCCTGCATCAAGCTTATTTTTTTTATTTATTTGTTTGTTTTCTGCTGCTTCTTCTTCTTTTTTTGTGGGAAAAATCCCAGCGCCCACAGTTACGGCATTTGGCTTTAGAGTTTCAAGTCCAAGACGAGAAACTCGGCCAGAAACTGGTAGAAAAAAAACGAAAAAAAAAAAAAACAACAGTGTTAATCAACCAGCGGCGTTCTGTTTTATTTCGCTTTTCTTTCACCTTCTTTTATTTTCGTTTTTTTGAATTACGTGCGAAAAAATTATCTCATACATTTTGGCTTTTGTTTCTGTCATGGACTCCGGTCAATTGAGTGTGCATGTGTGTGTGTGTGTGTGTGTCAGTGCTTGCTAGTTGTGAATTAAATTTCGACTTCATTGGCTGCGGTGACATAATAAAGTCGTGCAGGGCGCTAGCCGTAATTGCTGGCTCAGTGTTTTTTTTCTTTATTATTACTTTTGCTCAAGTCTTTCACTACTTAAAGCGAATCACAGGCGAAAGTTGAACTCCAACTGAAAAGCTGCCCCTACAACCACACACACACGCAGACACAAACACAGCAAACAAACATACTTAACTGTCCGTTTGTGCATAGAGGAAAATTGCAACATCATCATGATTCTTACACACAGGTGACATAATACACTTGCACGACATTTATCCCGACTTGTCGCCTGCTGTTAGCAAGCCGGCGCATCATCAAGCACACCACCAGACGCAACACAACAGCCACAATAGCAACAACATCAACAGCAACGGCCTGCCAGCGGCCTCGTCAGCACGGCCGGCCTATCCCAGCCACGCCTATTACAGCACAAAGCGCCCAGCGCTCTACAACAGCAATCCCTATAAGCCCAGCTCCAGCTCCGGTTCCGGCTCCAGCTCTAGCTCATCTGTACACCGACCCAGCGTCTCGAGCTTAAACAGCTGGGAGCATGACTCGAATCATTTGGGCATCACCAATCATCTGGACAGTTTCTTTGATGCGGATGCACCGCCAGATGGCGCTGTTGCCACCCGACCACCAGCATTACACGCACCCCAGGCACAGCCCTTCGCCGTGGGCAATGTGCTCGACCTGAATGCCGGCGAGGCGGTGGATGAGTACCAAAGTGGTGGCTACAACGACGGCAGCTATCGTCCAGTGCCGGGTACTAAAAATCAATTCAGCTGTACCAAAAATTTAAGCTATCTAACTGTTATCACTATGTCTCTCTCTCTTCTACACTTTGGTTTTCATTTCTCGCACCACTGCAAGTTTTCCTTAGTATGCACCACACAGCAGCAACAACACACTGAATCACAATATTTAGTTATGCACCTTACGCTGTTGCACTCTCTCTCTCTCTCTCTCTATCTATCTTTCTCGCTCTGATGTTCTTTAACTCATTTCATTTCCATTTCAATTTATCTCCCACAGGCTGCGGCGAGGTCTTTTCGCGCACCAATCGCATTGTGGGCGGCCACTCGACGGGTTTTGGGTCGCATCCCTGGCAGGTGGCGCTCATCAAGAGCGGTTTTCTCTCACGCAAACTGAGTTGCGGTGGTGCATTGATCTCCAATCGCTGGGTGGTGACAGCCGCTCACTGTGTGGCCACGTAAGTAGACGACGAGAGATCATCAGCCATTCAACCACTCAAGCACTTTCCTTATATACCACCAGCACCACCAATTCGAACATGAAAATTCGGCTGGGCGAGTGGGACGTGCGCGGACAGGAGGAACGTCTCAATCACGAGGAATATGGCATTGAGCGCAAGGAAGTGCATCCACATTATAATCCAGCCGATTTCAAGAACGATGTCGCACTCATACGACTCGATCGCAACGTGGTTTACAAGCAGCACATCATACCCGTCTGCCTGCCACCGCCCACCACCAAGCTGACGGGCAAAATGGCCACCGTTGCGGGCTGGGGCCGTACGCGGCACGGCCAGAGCACTGTGCCCTCGGTGCTGCAGGAGGTGGATGTGGAGGTCATCTCGAACGATCGCTGTCAGCGCTGGTTCCGCGCCGCCGGCAGACGTGAGGCCATACATGATGTGAGTGAAGCGAAGCAACTATATATATGATGATTAATATATCCACACTCTCTCTTTCACTCTCATCTCAACCAGGTCTTCCTCTGCGCCGGCTATAAGGAGGGCGGTCGTGACTCCTGCCAGGGCGACAGCGGCGGGCCGCTCACGCTTACAATGGACGGCCGCAAAACGCTAATCGGACTCGTCTCTTGGGGCATTGGCTGCGGACGGGAGCATCTGCCGGGCGTCTATACCAACATACAGCACTTTGTACCGTGGATCAACAAGGTTATGGCCAACGACAACAATGCGTGAATACAGTTTCCATAGCTAGACTGTCATTTGATCAATTTGGAAGACTGCAGCCACCGCCTGCAGCTGTTGCAACTGCGACCGCAACACCCGTTTGCCTGGCCATGTGATTCCTCTACGACTCGGGGTTGCTAGTGTTTAAGTCGAAGCTCTCAATCTCACAGCAGCTGATATTTATTTTTTTATATACCCCATCCCTAACCCAAACCCACTGGCGATATTCTATTGAATGCTGCTCGAACCTTGGAGGTTAACTGCTAATCATTAAAATATTTATTACATTCATCTGCATAGATTTCTATGAATTTACATATAACTTTATTTATAATTTAAATTAATATTAAAAACAAAATAAAAATAAAAAATAAATGAAACAATAAAAAGGTTTTTATAAATACTAATTAATAAAAATAAATGAAATACATTTTGACTGGAATCGTTTTTTTTTTTTTTTTTTTTTTTTTTTTTAATATTAATTATGATGAAAGCAAAAAAAAAATTAATAAATAAACATAAACAAAATATGCATATTTTCCCGCTCTACAATATATGTACATATATTTAAATATTTTTAATAAAACATATATACAACATATATGTAAGTATATATATGAGTTTCAAAATTTCCCATTTTAACATGAGCTAGGCAAACAAAAGACTCAAGACACAAACTCGCTGCCAAATAATTTAGTGAATTGTAAACACATTAAAATATCATTAATTTGATTAAAAGAAAACCATTTCAACGTTTTCTCTTTCAAAATTCAGCTGACTAAACAAAAGACTTAAGACACAAACTTGCTTTCAATACTAAAAACCTTTGCATACTTTTGAGCGGTCATAAAAATTTCGCTGCTCTACTCTGAACAGCCTGCACAACAAGTTGGCAGCTCTACGGAATATTTACACAGTTTAAACAGCTTGTGCGGCAGATTCAAAATCAAATATTAAGAAAAACAAATAACACAGAATCGTGATAAGAACGAAAGGGAGAAAAGATAAATAGAAATTGAAGCAGCCGCAACACCAAAATGAAAGCAAACACACAGCAGGCAGCAGTCACATCTTCCCAGAAACGCAAGTGCAGCACAAAATGTGGCAAGCGGGCGACCAACAGGTGAGCCACAATGAGGCATGCTCAGAATTTCTAATGATGCAACTTCCGTTGTGGCAGCCGAACGGCATGGGGCAGCAGTCAGCAGCGTGCGTTATTTATATATATATGTGTGTGTATGTGTTTCGGTAAACAGTTTTATAGAAAATCAAATCAAATAACATAATCAACAGAAGTTTGGCTAATTAACCGCTTGACTCAGCGTGGCTTATCAGGCACAGCTTCTCTGCCTCTCTCTCTCTCTCTCTCTCTCTCTCTCTCTCTCTCTCTTTCTCTCTCTCATACACTCTCTTTCGCTTCTTGTGCTCTTGGCATCCACAACAAATGAATTCCACTTCTTTGTTGCTTGTTTGCCTGCCTCGGCCTGGCTCTGCCTGACGTCGACTTCTGCTGTTGTTTGTTGCTCCTCTTGTCCAAAGCGCTGGACAACTGGGCGCAACTTGTTGCCTGCTTGCGGCTGGCTGGGCCTGCGCTCAGTCGCTGTGAAGCAGCGCCAGTGTCAAGGTCTCTCAAGTTCAAAGCGTTTGTTGTGCGTCGATTGCTTAATTTATAAACAAAACTAAGAATACAAAAGCATAAAAAAAAAAATAATATTCACAATATGAAATGAGCCGCGCTTTAATCAGATAAACCCATGCCAAATGATGTGTTATTAAATGAAATTGATTCAAGTGATTGATTGAACATGATTTATGCATGTTATTGTTGTTGTTGTTGCGGTTAATTAAGCTGCAAATTGGCTAAGTATAAACATAAACAAACTGCTTGAAAACTGCTTAAAAATGCATTAAAATGCCTCTCTCTATGTGTGTGCGTGTGTGTGTGTGCGTGTTTTTTACAGTCATGTACATAATTAGCAACAAGTGCAGCTAAATTGCTAACAACTCTTATCAGCCGCCAGCATAAACAGGTATGCACACACACACACAAACACAAACACAGACAGAGAGAGAGAGAGAGAGAGAGAACTAACAGCAGCATTAATAAAGTTTGACTTTCTTAACCTGAAGACGTGCATAAATTATAACACAAACAATACATACACACACACACAGCGCGTCAGTTAGTTGAACAAAGAATGGCGACAGGCTGTGTGAGCACCATTCATTTGCACCACACACCAAAAAAAAGATATATATACACACATATATATATATTAAAGAAAAAGCCAGCGAGCGACTCCCAAGTTAACAACTGCGCTGCGTTGCTGTTGTTGTTATTGTTGCTGTTGTTGTCGCTGCTTCTTGCTATTTTAATGTGAAAGCGCTGTTAACCCCAAACTTCAGCTGTATGGCCCCGCCGCCCTGCCGCAGCCACAGTCGTCGCATACAAATGCCGCCAATCAGCTGTGGCTGTGGCTGTGACAACAAGAGAGCAGCGAGAGAGTGTGCCAGCATGTGTGTGTGTGTGTCTGTGTGTGTGTGTGACTGTTCATTTGAATAAGCAACAGCTACAGCAGCAACAGTAACAACAACAACAACAACAACAGCCGCCTAGCGTTTGTTGTTCTCACCATTTTGTGAACTGGCCTTAATGGAAACCGTTATGCGCGAAGCTCTAACTAGCGTCGCAGTCGCAGCCGCTGCCGACGCCGGCATCGCCCGGCTACGCATGCGCACATGTTGTGGCTCTCTATATGCGCAAGTGGCCCCCTCTATGGGTGTGTGTGCGTGTGTGTGTGCGTGCGTGTGTGTTGCTTCTATAGCTACTACCAATTTTGCTTTGTCGTTCTTCAGCGCCGTTCGCAGCGCAGTCGCAAAATCTCAGCAACAGCAGCAGCAGCAGCGCAGCGACTGCGACTGCGACGCCAACGCTGCCGTCGGAGTTTGTGTCTTTGGCTTTAGCTGACTTCGACTGGCGTGTGGATCTTTTGTATGCGCGCTTCTCTCCAGACGTGCGCAACTCAACGCGGTCTTTGGCTCCTCTTCGGCATCGAATTGCTTCGCCTTCGGTTACGTCGATTTCGTGTGTGTGAGCGTGTGTATGTGTGTGCGTGCCTGTGTTCGTATCGCGCGCGCGTGTGTGTGTGCGAGTGTGAGTGCGCGTGAGTGTCCGTAGAACTTCAGTTATTGGCCTCAAATTGGCTTGGCCAGTGCGTAGCTGCATAGCGAAAAAGGCAAAGTAAACAAAAGTTACAATCCTTTCACACCACAAAGCCCGGCATCGCGTGAACAAGAGTTTTTTTTCCTCCCCCTTTTCCATATCATATAAATATATATATTAACTTGATATATATATCTTTTCGTGTGCTCAAAACAAAAGGCAGCCTGTGCGAGCGAGGCAACGGAGAGAGAGAGAGCAATCAACGAAAGCACAGAATTCAAGCAGCGTGAGTGTCAAACAAAAGCCAAAAGTGAAGAAACTCATAAAAAAAAATAAAAAATCATATATAAGAAACTAACAAAACAAAGAGCCGTACGAAGAGTTAAGAGCTGAGAGAAACATAATGCCAACAAAAACATAGAATAATAATAACAGTGCGGCATCAAATTAAAAGAAATGACCCCAAAATAGTTGCCAGTGAAGTTTCAACTACAGTAAAAACAAACAAAAAAACCCCAACAACAACAAAGCAACAACCGAAAATACACGCAAGTAAATGCAAAAGATAAAGCAGTAACAACAACAACAAAAAGGCACAAACAAATCTTTAGATACGCATCCGTCAGATACGCGCGCCCCTTTGCTGTATATGTGTGTGTGTGTTAAGTAGCTGCGCCGCACTTTCTACCACGTACAAGTCAATTAGAGACATACACAAACACACACACACAAACAATAGTTGCGCATAACTGCAACTAACTGCAACAGAAGGAGCAGCAGCAGCATCAACTTGCTGCTAAACAAGAGCAGAGCCGCAACAACAAGTTCAAGCGCCTTGATTTTGATCAACGGCCAAAGCCAAACGAGTCCAAAGCAAAAGTTGCCTTGTGCTGCAAATTTTTATTGAAATTCCTCGTAAAAGCAACAACAACCAGAACAACAGCAACAACAATCAATGCAGCAACAGCACCAAGAGCAACAACAACAACAACAGCGGCAAGTGTTTCAATTGCCACAGCAGCCGCAGCCGCAGCAGCAGCATCAGCAGGAGCCAACAAGACACAAGAGCAAAAACTTCTTTTTGGAACTGGTCTGCTAGCTGTTCGTCTTGTTGTTATTGTTGCATCTGTTGTGGCTGTCGCTTGGCTTTGACTTTGGTCTAAAATGCAGAGGCTTCAACGGCTGCGGCCACTGAGCGAACTCCCCCCATTTGTGGCAGCCACAGCAGCGCCTTGAGCATTATTTGCATTTCAGCTTATTCTGGTTTTGCCAGCATGAGACAAGAAGTGCCTGCCTCTTGTAGCAGATGCTGTTGCAACAGCAGCAACAGCATCTTGTGCTGCTCCAGCTCCAGTTACAGCTGCAGCAGAGCAGGCTGCCTCCTGCACGCCCGCCCATCTTAATTATAAGAAATTGCGCTGCAATTGAGAAATTTTGTCGTTTGCAAGTTTGTGCCTTAAGTCTTTTGTTTTGGCCAAGCACATTCAACAAGTGTTTTTCCATTTTGTGCCTCTTTCGACTTGGCTTTCTAGAGCTAACTGAACTAATGAACTCCCGCATCCCGCAGCTAGCAATAGACAGCATACATTATATAGACACACACACACAAACGCACACACACATAGTCGCACACAGACTGACAAACCCATTCAAAATTTCTCCAAAGCCGTTTTTGGTAACCAGCCACAGAAATGAAAGCCAAGTTGAAGGCAGCGTCGCAGCAGCAAAAGTGGACGCACTTCTGGTTTCTGATTATGTGCGCTCGACCAAATATCATATGGCATAATTCTATTGTTCACCTGCTTCCTCTTCTTTCTCTCTTTCATTTAGCCTCTTCTTCTTTTTTGGCTAATTTGATGTGACAATATTGTGCTTTCTGCATGCATTTCACTTTTCTTTTAAACTAATAAAGTTGTCTATATATAAATAGATGTATATGTGTATATGCATATACGTATATTCATATGCTAGCAGAGACAGAGAGAGAGAGGGAAAGAAGAGCTGCCTTATAAAAAAGTACAATTTGTGTGGCTTTCGCTTTTATTTAAGGCAAGTGTTATACACACAAACACACACACACAAATACATACAAATGACTTTTTAATAAAAATTCAAACACACAAAATAAAAGTTCCCAAGAAGAAAAAAATAAATAAATAAAATCAACTTGTAATTTCACTTTTAACATGTCGAGTGGAAATAAACATCAAATTTTTATTTACCCAGGTGGAAATTACTTAATTGTTTTCAGGCAACGCCTACTCAGCCGCTCAGCAGCTCTCCAGCTCAATTCAATAATAAAAAGAAAAAAGAACACACAATCATGCAAATCATCTGTGTGTGACCCACTTTAATGATATTCTCAGCCACTCACGTGTCCGCTCGTCCGCCTGTCCGCCTGTCCATCTGTCTGCCATTCCGACGACTGGTTTATCGACAGTAGCCGCAAAATTCATGTTAATTTGCACATTTCTCGAAATGGAACGCGAATACAATTACACGCATCTGATATCTATATGGCCAAGCCAAGAACGTGACCCAAATACACAAAAAGCCGTTCGTTCGCATAGCGACTAAACAAAAGCCATTTGCCTGTGAGTGTGTGTGTGTGTGTGTGTGTGAGAGAGATGTTTGCTCGGTGATAACTCAAATCATTCATCTTAAATCCCACCAATTTTATTTTGAACTGCAATTATCTGGCGATTCTGACACCTAATTAAAAGCAATCAGCGTTGCGTTCATGCGGATATATTTTATAGCTTCCGTTCTGTTTTTTTCGCTCTCTTTGCATCTCTGTCTGCTCGCTGTGTCTCTTTCTGCATCTCATGGGAAATTGCTTAAATTATATTTAATTGCGCCTAAGACAACGCCCATTAGCGAACCAAATGCCAGCATCAAGAACAAGAGCGCTTTAGGCCAGCCCGAAAGCACAGCTGATGTTCTGAATGTGATTTGGTTTCTGAAATGATACTGAAAGTACGCTTAGGCATAGATCATGAGCCTAAGTTAATAAATACTATATATGGGAATAAATATGAATATGATATATAAGCCATTTAATTTGCAATATTTTTTATAGAAGCAATTTTGTATACTATATGTATTTATATATTTATGTATATATATTCGCTTTCTACAGGGTATATAGACAAGCTTAGAGCCACACTTGAAACAAATGAAATGTACTTTTTTATGCTTGTTGTTTTAGACTTTTATATTTAAGCTAAACAACATTTTATGGCATTATATACACTTTTTTTTGCACAAGCCGCATGCGGTTAAAAAATATATAAAATGCCTTTAAGCTGCGGGCAACGGTTCTGGCCCAATGTCAATGACCGTATTACGCAACGCAGCTCCTAAGAACACGAGCAACAGCAGCAGCAGCAGCAGCAGCAATCGTTGTTGTTGTTGTTGTTCTTGTTGGGTAAAGAAAACGCTCCAAACAAACGCAGCGCGACAGCGAATTGCTCAACGCTGCAGATCGTGACGAGCGTGTGAGCAGATGAGTAACAAAAAGAGAGCAGGATAGAGTGGGAGAGAGACAGAGATAGCGAGGGGCAAACACACAGCTAACTTCTAATGCTGCTGCTGCTGCGGCTACGGCTACGGCTGCTGCTTACGGATCAATGAAAACAACGTCGCCAAAGGCAACAAACACACACACACAGCGTGTGAGCCAAGTGCTGCTCATCAGCAGGTTGGGCCGCCTTCGGTTCGTTACCAATTCCAGTTAGATTCAGTCAACTCATCATCAGCGAGTCTATATTGAGTTACCTCCCCGCCGTGTACATTTCTTCTTTTGTTGCGCTTTCTTTGATTGTTACAGTTTATGTCATCATATCTGTACATTTGTCATGCCTGAAACTTTCTTCAGCAGCAGCAATTCCAGCAGCAGCAACACCAGCAGCATCACCCGTTCATCAATTAGTCGTATCTTGAACTTTAACGCACTGAGAACCAGTTGCAGCATTTGTGAGCACACACTCGTTTGCACTTTGTACAGTTATATAAACGCTTATACAACTTGTAGTTCCCGCTTATGCTGGGCATATACATATGTGGGTATACCAATATGTATATATCGAGCTGCCCATTAGCACGTTGTTGTGCGCTTTCTACGCACACACACACTTTTGCTTTCCATCAGCTACTTTGGGCATGACTAAACACTCGATAACAGCGACAATAGCAACAGCAGCCGCTGAAACAATGTTACCTGCGCAGGTGCTTAAATTACACATACGCATACCTGTCCCTAACCATTTTATTTGCAAGCTTCATTTCAAATTTCTTTTCGCTGTGTTGCTATACAACTTTTTTTCTGCTTTTTTAGCCAAGGGCATTTTCAGTTAGTCACGCTGCACTATTGTTGGGTTTTCTTTGTATTGGTATTTGGTGAAACTCAAGTTGATATATATTGGCATTTGTTTGGTTGGTTTAGGTCTAAGGACTGGTAATTGCAATGTATTTAGTAATCAAATGTATTTAAATTGTAAAATAACTAATTTCATTATATATTAGAGTTGTTTAGTCTTACTTAAGTAAACATGTGTTGGAGGAAAGACTTTGGCATATGATATCCCTCAAGGCTTAAGGCGGCCTGTACGACGCATTTCTCAAAAGATCTATGTCCTTGCCAGATGGGTACAACCGTGTATAACTTTTAAGTGTTGCGTTTGATCAGGCTAACGTAAAAAGTTGCATTAATGTCGCTCTTAAGACATTTTAATAATCTGTAAATTTTCACAAAAACACAATGACGAGGAAGTCAGATTTTGAGATCTTATTCATTCGCATAAAATATTATAATAATTAAAAAGGTGAAGATTGGACACATATGCAGATATACATTCACGAAATGAATCTGAATTTTTTTTTCCTTTTTCGCATATCAAGCATACATTTATCTCTATAAATAATATATATGAATCACTCTCATCAAAATTGCTCAGCATAGTTTATATATAGAAACCTTTAGCTGAAATGATCACACCAATTTCTCTACTAAATCGCTCCAACATCTCCACTCAAATCTAAAATATAAAAGCTCTTCCATCTCCCAAACAAAGTTCTTTTCACACTTATCTACATATATTTTCTCACAATTGTTAGATAACTTCTGAAGCGTAACTTAAGTGCTTTAAGTTGTAGAAAGACTTTCTTTGCTTCTAGACGTTTGTTATTATTTATTCATATTTTTTGTTGTTTTCATTTCAAAAATTTTTTCTTTCCTTTATTTTTTGGTTTTTGCATATGCAAGTCACTCGAAACGAACGACTTTCACCTACATCAAGAGCTTGAGTCATCCACAGAAACTTCTACGCACTTGCTGCCTGAATGTTATTGTTGTTGTTGTTGTTGTTGCTTTTGTTGTATTTCTTGTTATATTTGCCGTGCCCATGACTGAGCGGTAGAAATTCCGTGTTTAGTTTTAATTTGAATACGGATCAGGGCCGTAAAACGTTTCACATTCATTTGCCGCAATGATTCATAAATGTTTATTTTCCATTTGCAGATGGGTGCGTTGCAGCAGCAGCAGCTGACTAACAAATACAGATACCGAGCTAGAGATACCACGACAATGGCAAGCAAAAGTGGAGCAGACGACAACAGCAGCAGCAGCAGCAGCCGCAGCAGCAGCCGCAGCATCTCAACCCAAACCCAGCCCGCATCGATCAACAGCAGAACTGCCACAAATACGCACAGCAGCATCATCGTCATCCTGGCGCTGGGCAGTCTGCTGTTGATGCTGCTGCTGCCGGCGCTGGAGGCGAGCCCCGTTTTTGTGGATAATCCCAGCTTAGCGCAGTGTAAGTAGCAAGATAATTATGAAGCTGTCAAATTGAGCAGCAGCCAGCCAAGTGGCCAGCTTTGGCAGCATTTCACTGGAATCACTCAAGAGACGTGGCGTATAAAGACATCACGCTAGCTGAGGCTGGGGCTGCGGCCGCTCTGTCCGCAGCGCCTGTTGACAGGTTTTCCCCAGAACTCAAGCACTTTCTCTCACGTAGGCTATTAAACAAAAAATCTCTTTACTCGAATACTCTCTTTTCATATTTATGGGGCGCGTTTCTTCGAAACAATGAAATGAAACAAAAGCATATGCAATTTTGTGAAAATTGTACAGCTGAAGATAGGGAATATAAAATTAATTTTACTTAAACTAAAAGATGGGAAGATAGAGAGATATTTGTTAAGGGATTTCTCTATGTAATATAGTGAACAGATCAACGCAAATTCTGAATTTCTTAGATCTACGTCTCTTGACTAGTGAACATATCTATGTAACTTCTTAAATCTACGTCTCTTAAAAAACTATATATTTTTTATTATTTAGTTTTATTTTTTAGTTCAAATAGACAAACAGCTAACAAGTTTTAGTTTTTTAAAGTATTTTTCTACTATTTAAAGGATTTTTTTTTTTTCACAATCCATCAAATAGTACTCCATATAAAGAAAATGTGAATAGCTACATTAGCTAAAGCTTGCCATCTAGAAAGCAGCTTAAGTAGTGTAATCAAAATTTTTGCTTCTATGCCATCAAAATTCACGACTTTGGCACTTTGGAAAAACTAAACCCTGGCATAAAACTTAAGCTTAGCAGCAAGCAGAAGGCTGTTAATGGCCATTGGCCATGCTCATAGTTGCGCTAGAACCAGAATTGGTAGCAACTGAGCGCCATCAGATTTGATTGCCAAAATAAAAAATAAAAAAACGAATGACTGAAGACACAAACTTGTTTTTTTTTTTTTGTGTTTGAGCAAATGGCCAATAGTTTCGGGCTGCTCTCGTGTGTTCGCTGGTCTCTTGTGGCGTCTCAAATGAAAGTAATCAAAATTAATGATGCAGAGCGGCGACAAGCGTTGCGTATTGAGCGTAGCTTAATTGGGTCATAGCCATTAAGAATCAAACTCAGATGCTATTAGCACTTCCTCTTCATAAGACATGTGTTAGCCGCAGCGACAGCTGCCAATTTGCCGCCAACAATGGGCAATGGGCAGTAAGCAGAGCTTGAGGCAGTTACAGCAGCATCACAGTTCACAGATCGCGAGAGTTTTGAAAATAAAACTACCAAACAACACACACACACAGACACCGACACACACACAGACAACTTTCTTGGCTGAGCAAAAGCAAACAGTGAGCCAAAACTGGCAATGCCGGCAAACGGGCAAACGGACAAACGGCCAAACGTCAGCGAGCAAAAGCAATTGAGGTCAACCATCAAAGAATGTTGCCATAAAAATAAGCCAGCAGCGCAGCCGCAAGAAAGCGTGTGCCAGACAACAACAACAACAACAACAACAGCAACAAGCCATTGCCAGTGGCTGCGTCAAGGTGGCAGGCATTTCATTTTTATGACTCGCAATGGACCAAAAGACAATAACAACAACAAACACAATAATAATAAAAAAAAAAAAAGTATATAAATGTATATATATATATCTTATATCTGGCAAGATGCGGCGCAGAAAGCGGAAAGTAAATCGACGCCAAGTGAAAGGGAAATAAATAAAAATATATATAAGAAGAAGAAGAAGGAGAAAAAGCAATGTCAGCCATGAACTCATTCTCAGCGCCTCTAACACTTCGGGCCACGCCTACGCTGAGGTCAGCGCCTGACCCAATTTCAATAGCCGCCACGATCGAGTTGCCCCGCCAAAGAAAATGTGGCTCGTCGTCATTCGCATGCCAAAAACGAATTTCCGACATTGCAATGCGGGTCTGGGCCTCCAGCTCGAGAGGTTTAGCTGGCCCGTTGCTTTTGGCTGCCTCATCGGCTGCTTGGTAGGCTGTTCGTGTCGCTTGGCGAGTGGCTAGCAAAACATATGCTAAGTTGTTGACCCAAAAAGCCACAAAACGAAATGCAAACAGCAGCAGCAGCAGCAGAACCAGGCGAAGAAGCTAAAGAAAAAGCTGAGCCAACGCCAACGCTAACGCCGACGGTGACGGCGACGTCGACGCTAACTGCGCTGCCATGCGTTGTCTATGAAACGTGACAAAGTTTTGACTACAAAAATATATAATCTCATAAATGTATGCGTGTGCGTGTGTGTGTGTGTGTGTATTGGGCCGGCATTTGATTTTTTTTTTCGGTTTTTTGGGTTTTTGTTGAGTTCTTGGCCAGTTCGTGTCTTAAGTCATTTGTTTTGCGCTGCCTCATACAATATATCAGCATTTCGTGTTAATTGCATAACCAATAAAGCTTTGTATACATCAGCTTTACAGTTAAAGTTCAATAAACGCTCAGCGCTGCTCAGGCCGCTGCAGTGCTTCTCGCTTTAACATTGAAATACGAGTAAATCGCGCGAAAATTTATATGCCAACTAACTTGAGCTTAACGCGATGCCAGACATGGTAGCTGCGGCGGCAGCTCGCAAGCTGTGTCGCTTTATTTATGATCGTGTGCGTACTGCAAACAAAAGGTTCTTCACATGGGGCGCCGAGTTCGTTGCTCAAGTCTTTCGTTTCGCCCTCTCTCTCTCACACACACTGTGCCTGCGTGCGTCTTTCTCTTTAAAGTGTCGTCTGCAATTACATAAGTTCAAAGACTGCTGGCTCCATTACAAAATACATGCGACTCGTTGTTCATTCTTAAAGTGGCAATTCATAAATAAATAAAAAGCACCATAATAATAATTATAATAATAATAATAATAACGCTACTGTTGTACATGCTGTTACTATTCTTGTCTGTTGTTGCCTCCTCGCGCCTAGCTGTCGCCCTTCAGCTAAACCTCTGTCTCCCTCTCTCTCTATCTCTCTCTCTCTATTTGCTTTGTTGTTGCCACTTCATTTTCACTTGCTATAACGGCTTGCCTAACGGTAAATGTTTGCCTTAAATTGGCGTACAAATTGATGGCGTTAATCGCCCCAAACAAACGGAAACGGCTTGGAGCATCAGAATAGCAAATAGGAATACAGAGCAGAACGCAAAACGCGCATTTCATTTCATTTTGTCAAGCGAGTCGTACTCTGCACTGAGCGAAATTTATAATTACTTAATAAAACAGAGTTGTTGTCTGTGAAAATTAAACAAGATTTTGCTAGAGTCTGCTGGAGTATATTAGAGATTGTGCTTAAATAAGTTTGTTAAGGTGCATGGGAAATGTTTAATTTAAAATTATATTTAGAGTGAGTGAGAACGAGAGAGAGAGAGAGAGAGAGAGAGAGAGAGAGAGAGAATCTCGTATAAATGTAAGCTTTAGAGCTTGTATTAACATAATAGATAAATACATAAATAATTATAATATACACTTGAGTTCATAATGATAGCGATACTACACTACAAATAAAGCATATGTACATACATACACATACAGGTCGCAAGTTCTCAGTTACTTAACTCCTTTCCAAAGAAGAGACAGCGCCAAATATATACATTTATAATCTTTGTATTCTCCACCTCCATATCTCTTCTGATTATCATTCAGTTTATTAATAAACATTTCCCTTTTGCCTTGCAGTTCAATCCGGTCGCAATATACGCCATCTGCCGTGCATAGTGCGCAAATCGGGACGCTCGGGCGTCTGCATGTTTGCCATCGATTGCATCAAGCAGAATGGCACGCACTTGGGCACCTGCATCGATCGCTTCTACTTTGGCTCGTGTTGTGCCATGAAGGTAAGTGCGCAGCTGCAAGCACTATAATTAGCATAATCGACTAACCACACAACAATCTTTCTCACTCTCTGCCCCCTTCTCTCTCTCTCTCTCGCTCCCTCACAGGAGGAGGCTTCGCTGTTTGCGCCGGAGATAAGCGACAATAGCATCGATCAGAATACCATTTCGCATTTCTCTCACGAGTCCACGACGTTGCCCACTAGCACTCTCTTCAAGCTTACCACTGAGAGCAGCACCACGCACCACCACAACTATCAGCAGCAGCAAAATACAGCCAGCGAACTGCTCAAGAATGTAACTCAGAGTTATTTGAGCAGCCTGAAGCCAGTGCGCACCACCAGCACTAGTGCCAGCAGCAGCACCACCAGCAGTGGCAGTACTTCGGGCAGCAGTACAACCCACTCGTTCAGTTCGACGCGTCGGCCCAGCACTCCGCACACCACCCACAAGAACTCGCATTTTGTGGTGCGCACCACAGTTAAACCCATTCAAGAAGCCAAGCTAACAACCACTGTGAAGCCGCATCGTCGTCGCACCACTACCACGCGACCAATGCTAACCACTGGACCAGCTTTGGAGCAGCGCATTGAAACCACCACAGTGCCGAGCAAGTTTGTCACCTTCCAGATTGTGGAGACAACCACGCCATCTGCCACCGAGCCCACCAATCGCTTACCGGAGACAACCACTCGGCGGTACAGCAGGCCCACCGCTGGCAGCAGCAGCAGCAGTAGCAGCAGTAGTTCCACTGCTGCTAAGACAACAAGCCGAACAACAACCACCAGAGCAACAACAACCACAGCTGCACCAACAACGACAACGACGACGACGACAACGACAACAACAACAGCGCGTCCAACCCCACCATTACGCACCACAACGCCCAAACCCCACAAGCCGCAGTCTAGCAGACGCCCAGCGCCTGCCAAGAAGCCGGCAACAACAACAACCGCCGTAAACACAACAACAGCAACGCGCAAGCCAATCGACAACAGCAGCAGCAGCACCACCACCAGCAGCACAGCAACAACACTGCCCGTTCGCAAGCCCGTTAACAGCACCAGCGGCACCCTTGGCACCACCTCAACAGCATCCACATCGAGCACGTCTGCAGCAACAACAACCACCAAGCTGCCCTTGGCGCCCAGGCCGAAGCCAAAGCCAACGGGCGAGATAGTCAAGGTGCCCGTGGTGCTGGCTGATGTGATACCAACAACCACCGGCCCAAAAGTCACGCGCAGACCAATAACAACCACCAGCAGCAGCAGCAGCCACACGACAGCAACAAGAACAACAACGGCGCCCAAAAAGCCAGCGAGCAGCAGCAGCACGACTACAACAGCAACACCCACAACAACAACAACGATAACAACCACGCCCAAGCCCACGCGCCGACATACAACAAAAGCCACCAGCACCACAGCAGCGCCAACAACCACCACAAGAAGAACAACAACAACAACCGCTGCACCGCTGCTCACAACCGAAGCGCCCAAATTGCCAGCAAAACCAACAGCAACAGTTGGCACCACGGCAACAGCAACAGCAGCAAGTGGTGTTAGCACCACCAAAAAACCAGGTCTGATCACCTGGACAGATGTTGAAGCGGAACCCATTACGAATGCAACCATTAGCAGCGATTGGCAGCCAGGACAATCGGCCGGAGATTGGGTGCCGTTGCCCACTTTGTTGCCCGAGTTGTACAACAACAAGACGACGGGCGCTGGCACAGGTAAGTGGTGCAGGTAAAACGTGGCACAAAGCACGATAAAACATGAATCGAACTCTAATTGCAGCAACGCCCAGCGCCACAGACAAGGTGGTTATCTCGGTGGCCACCAGCGTCAGCACCAGCAGCGGTGGCAGCGGCAGCGGTGGCAATTCTGAGTCGGGTCAGAGTCAGGAGGAGATGGAGACAATGGTTACTAGCAAGCCGCATAGAACCACAAAGCCGCCCAGGCCAGCGGCAACAACGCCAGCAACGGCGACAACAACACCAACAGCAACAACCACAACAAGAACAACTGTAACAAGCAAAACCACAGATGCACCACCAACAAGAACAACAGCAGCCCCAGCAACAACAACAACAACGACTACAAGAACACCACCAACAACAACCACAACAAGAACAACAACAACAACGGAACGCTTGGAATTAGTATCCTCAACGTCGTCTTACACAGATTCAAGCAGCGAGTCAAGCGGCAGCAGCACCACAACGGATTACAGCGGCGAGGAGCCGAATACAACGACAATCGATGCAGCTGGCAACACGACCGTAGCGCCTGCCACCGGCTTGGAGGGCGTCGACTACCGGGAAGGTGAGTTCAACATGCATTGCTTCTTCATTGATGCACAGCCAGAGCAAAGAACAAAAATAGGAAAAAGAGCGAAAAAAGGAAGATAATAATATTTCAAGCTAACTAGGCGAAGACTGTATGCTCTAGGTTTTCTATATGGCTATAATATTTATATTTTACTTTGAACGAAATTGCATATAAACAAGGAATATAGATTTCAAATTATGATATCTTAGAGCTTATAGGCTTAGCTATAGGCTATATAGACATATATATTTGACAAAAAAACAGATAAAAATATATATCGTTGAGGATTTTTTATAAATTTATAAAATACATATATACAAATAGGTAAAAGTCTTGTAGAATAAAAGAAAGATTAGAGCTCGTTTCAACTGGCATCCTTATCATGCAAATGAGATGCTCCCATCTTATATACTAGCAAATATACCCCATATTGAAGCGCATAGCTTGTGAACAAATATGAAGAACAAAACGAAACTAGTTTGCTGCAGAGCGCAGAATTCTATTAATACACCAGACTTTGGCCATAAGACAAAGATGCGTGGCCATTAAATTCAATTTGAAGGCTGAACATTGGCCTTGAGTAAGAACTTTATGTCTGACTGAATGATACTCAACTCGACTGTATGTGTGTGTGAGTGTGTGTGTGTGTGTGTGTGTGTGTTGCAGGGATGCTGCTGCACAGGAGCATCATCAGAGTCTCTAGAAAGCAAAGAGCGGCTTTTACTGCCCCAAGAAGAACAACTCATGTCCATGGCAATTTTTACAGCAATAATTTACAATAATGACTGGCGTTGCGGTCATTGTGCCGCCTGGGTCACGTTGTCTGCGCTTATCGTGCCTGCTTAGTCGATTGTCCGATTGCTAGCCCATTCCATGCCCCACGCCACGCCCCTCGCCACTAGCCACTCGCCACTCCTGGAGCCTGTGAGCATCGAAATGAGTCAGGAGTGGTTCTCTGCATGGCTCGTTGGTTGGCTTGAAGCCCGTTGACCGATTTGCGAGAGCAGCTTCGAAATATCTTGATGCACGAAACGAGTCGGCTGCGGCTCATAAAGTAGGCCGTTGACTGTTGGCCAAAGTCAAGGCCTGGCCAAGACAAGAGCAACGCCAAAAGAGTTGGCCAAAGCATATTACATTGCATGCGTCTGGATGACTGAGTGCCTGTTGTAGTGATTAAAATGTTTTAAAGTCTTCACTTTTTTGCCGTTGTTGCTATTGTTGTAGTTGTTGTTGTTATTCTGGCCATTACTTTAATTGTGACCTGCTCGCCTATTAAAATCCCCCAGCATCTCTTCATTATTATTTTGTTTCTTTTTTCGTTTGCAGTCTGCGGCCGTCGCATGTTCCCTGAGCCGCGCATTGTTGGCGGGGCAAACTCTGCCTTCGGCCGCTGGCCATGGCAGATATCCCTGCGCCAATGGCGCACCTCAACCTATCTGCACAAGTGTGGCGCAGCGCTGCTCAACGAGAACTGGGCAATCACCGCCGCGCATTGCGTTGACAAGTAAGTGCCTCTCAAAGTTGACTGATAAAGACGGTTTTTATACGAACCAACCTACGTGGTCTCTGCTCTTTCAGTGTGCCACCCTCTGATTTGCTGTTACGTCTGGGCGAATACGACTTGGCTGAGGAAGAGGAGCCCTATGGCTTCCAGGAGCGACGAGTGCAAATTGTTGCCTCACATCCGCAGTTCGATCCGCGCACCTTCGAATACGACTTGGCGCTGCTCAGGTGAGTGCGAAGATAAAGCAAAGTCTTTAACTAAATTTACTATATTTTTGTTTACTTTCTTTTTCAATTTTCTTTAAGATTCTACGAGCCCGTAGTATTCCAGCCGAACATTATACCCGTCTGTGTGCCCGACAGCGATGAGAACTTTATTGGACAAACGGCCTTTGTCACCGGCTGGGGCCGCCTCTACGAGGATGGCCCACTGCCGAGCGTGCTGCAGGAGGTGGCTGTGCCTGTCATCAACAATACCATCTGTGAGTCCATGTACCGCTCAGCGGGTTACATTGAGCACATACCGCACATATTCATCTGCGCCGGCTGGAAGAAGGGCGGATACGATTCGTGTGAAGGTAAACTTGAGCACACACACATACATACATATACATATTAATGCATATGTGATTTATGGCACCCACTAATTGGATTTCACTCACTTTTCAGGTGACTCTGGTGGCCCCATGGTGCTGCAGCGCGAGTCGGATAAACGCTTTCATCTGGGCGGCGTCATCTCGTGGGGCATCGGCTGTGCGGAGGCTAATCAGCCAGGCGTTTACACGCGCATCTCTGAATTCCGAGACTGGATCAATCAGATTCTACAATTTTAGTCGCATCGTAGTCTTGATCGCTGTATTATGCCTAAATCCTTAGCGAATGCCCAGCAAATCCGCACACGATATCCAAATCGTGAACAGAGTCCTCAACTCAACTCAACTCAACTTAACACAATTCAAACTCGAACTCGTTCTTTGGTTATGGGCACGCACTCCTATCATCCACATCGAGTCTAGCGCATAACCCAAGCAACGATTTCAGTTCAAATTAATTATCATTTTCTGCACCACACTGCACCACAATTGCTACAATTCAAACAACAGACTAAATAGCAGAACTAATCTTAACTTAGGTCCATTTATTACTCTATTCATTTCTGAAAATTACTTTATATTTAACATAACAAAAAAAGACAAGAGTTGACGACTCATTTGAGCACTTTAATTTATTTTCCCTCCCTTTTGCTCTGTATATAATTTTCTAAATTATTGCATAACCATTATTTAGCTCGTAAGTTTATTTAATAGAAATTTGACAAATGGCTCTACTCGATGTAGTGCATTTGATTAGGCGCTTCTTTTTCACGAAGTTTTTTTAATAAAAAATAAATAATAAAAAAAAACACAACAAAAAAACAATTTAGAAAAGAAGCTATTGTAATTTAATTTAATATGCGTATTGTAATTATTTATTTAAAAGCACAACAAATTAATTCAATTAAAATGTTTAAAACAAACTCTACGTCGTTTCATTTTCTCATTGCCAAAAATAAAATAGCTGCATTTCAAATTTCAAACAATAAAAGTTGAAGAACAATATAGAAAATACAGTTGTTTTTGTGGAGCTAAGCATATATAAAAATAAATGGTTTGAAGAGCAGCGATTTTTCTCATAAGCAAAAAATTAACTTTTCCAATCTTATTTTAAATTCAGTTTGCTAAAAACTTATTATTATTTATAATTTGTATTTATAATTTAACAACAAATTAATTTTCATTCAGAATAGCAACAGCGATGTATGTTAGGAAACATTGCCTACTTTTAGGCTCTGCAAGAAAAATGGATTAGCGCCATCTATTGTTCAATTTATTACAAAGCGCTTTCATTACAAAGCAACAGCAAATAATTAATAACTGATTATTATTTCATACTTACGTATTTTTATAATAAAAATATTACGAAAACAATTGTAAATTATGTTCAAATGAATTGAATTTAAAGTCAATATAATTTTGTATACATTATTTTTTATGTTATTTTATGTTTCAGTATTAATTATATACAAACAATATTGGCAAATATGTTTTAATTAATATCGAATTGACTTTAAATTGAATATATTTTTGCATAGTCTTTTCATGATTATCATCTTAAGCTCCTCATCATTTCAAGGTAATTATTGCCTAGTTGAATATGCCTAATGAAGTTCGATTAGAGCCACCTACTGTTTGTTTTACTGGCCAGCTACTGTTTTCATTACACCAGCAATAGAACAGCTGGAAATCTATTATGCAAAGGCATTAATTATGATAAACGGAAGTACAGCATTGAAGAACGATAAAAGAAAACTAATTTTTCTGAAATTATCGTTCAAAAAATTCTACATGTATAGCAACTTCTTCCCATTATCATATCAAGTTCCATCATTTTATTTCACAGATTTACATTTCTCTCCATAAAACAAAAGCTATAAACCTGCGGTATGCCAGCTGCAGAGACACCACAGCCCGCATAGCAGACCAGAAACCACCGAACTTCACACATTATTCATTAAGTGAACGATTTAAATTCAAACCGCATACCACATAAGCTTGGCAACGAGTCAGCATTATTTGGCAGGCGCCGCATATGATCGGCCGCAAAGGAATAATAAAAACAAAACTAACGAAAAAATACGAAAATACAAAAACGAAACAACATTGCCCAATATTTTACTAAAAACTTTCTTTGCAGTGCTGGGCAAGTGACAAATTTCCAAATGTATTTTGAATATGTTAAGTGAGAAAACGAACAGAAAAATTATTTGATATGCGTAGCAGGCAGTTAACGAGCAGGCAGTTAACGAGCAGGCAGATACCTCAACCTCAAGTCAAGGTAGCAGAAACAAAACTCCCGAACAATCGGCGTGTTTTATATTGAGTGTTTCAACTTGCAGCTACATTTAGTGGGTTTTCGAGGGTCGTTGAAATTGGAAAAACATGGAAGTTTCTTGTATAATTCACATGAAAATGATATTATATTGATTTTTGAATGAAGGAAATGCACGAAGTTAAAAAAAGAAAATAAGAAATAGATGTAAATAATTATAATAAAATAAATATAATTATTTAGTTTTAAATAAATGAATCTTGATTCTTAAAATTTATTTTTATTTATAAATAAAACCTGAAATAAATATAATCTAGATTTAAAAGCCTCTTACTTGCCCGCCAACTTATAGTTAGGAAAGTTATCTTTTTGTTATATCTCATCAAGGGTCAAACACAACAACAAAAGTAAAATATAATAAAATAAAAATCGTTTTTGGTCAGCACGATGATAAACGCCCCGCAATTACTGTTGTGGACGTCATTGCGATGAGCTCGTTCGTCATGGAACTTTCGCTTTCGGCCAAACTCGGTCATTTGCATATGACAGAGAGACTCACGCCGGCGGGAGGGGGAGGGGGGCTAGCTAGATCACGGGTCAGGCAGCTGCATTTGGTTAATGGCGTGTGGGAGCCACATTTCGGGCCACTTGAATCACCTGCAACAACTCGAGATAATCTCAAGTGATCCAGCAGCAGGGCCAACAACCAGCCAAACATATATCATAATTTGTACAGGCATCAGAGATCTCAGTGCTCTCATGTGTTCCGATTATCAACGGCTACAATCACGACTCTCTCGACTCTTCCAGGTAATGCTGCTCCTTGACCAACGTCGCCCGGCTGAACTTTCACATGCAATTGTACAGTGCCTGGCCTCAGCATTCGTGCAACTAATAAACGCTCTTTAGTAAATGATTGGGGCGTGTTTTGATTATGCGATTTGCCCAACAATATTGAAACGTGCCCACAAATATTTGGCGGACATTGATCCGATGCCGGCGATCGCGGATTAGCTAACTATGGCCAAAACTAAGCTCTAGACTTTTATAATTTATGGCGAAAGTGCAGAGTTTGGCATTCACTTTTCAGACTATAATCGAATGTATATACATATATACAAATGTTAAACGAATCTTAGCCGATGTATATCATGTGAGTTCCATTGATATTTTATTGGACCTTGATGAGCTTGTTTACACTTATTATGACGTGCGATATGTTTATGTGAAATGCAAGCGAGTGAAATGTTGTATATTCGGTTGCATAAGTTTTTTGTATTATTCACAGATTTATTTCAGCAACAGATATAGTTTGTCATTTAAACAATGTAACTAAAAATAAATCAAGCTGTCAACTAAAATTTCAGAGTAGATATTGAATGGCTGATATTGAAGACAAAAAAAGAAATTCAAAGAGATTTAAAGCCGTTCTATGCGATTTTCATAAATTATTAAATAAAATAATAGATAGCTATCATTATATAAACTGTTTTTAGTTAATGGTTTTATTTGACCTAACTAGATTAGATAGATCAAAAGCCATTTTTCAAATTCCAGAATATATTTTTAAATATAAGGTCTAAATACTGTTTATCAACTCTTGAGAATATTGACTCTCGAAATTATTTGAATTTTATAATATATAATAATATAACAAAACCTATAATAAATATAAATATAAGCGGTTCTCAAGCAGTCAAATAATGCCTACATGATCTATAATGTTCTCAAATTCTTCAAAACTTATTAGAAAGTCCAAAAACATATATATGTCTATATATCTCTCATTAACTTTGGTAAACCATATCAAATCATTTAAATATACAACTCAAGTTTCATATAATTATAATTCTGTTACAAAACGAACTTAAATTTGCATTCAACGGTGTCTAATTTAAATTAATAACAAAGCCAGTTTTAAATAACTAAAGGGTATTTTGCGTTAACCTCATTTACCCATTGAAATCGAGAGGGTAACACGAAAAGTTCCCACCAGATCCAAAGTCGCTAGACAATATATATAAAGTAGAAGAAGAAAAACGAAAGCGATGAAGTAACTGAAACTGAAACTGAATTTGACTCTTGCGGCGCAGATCTTGCACTTAATTTCCATAGAAAAGTTGCACAATTAAGCAGCTTGAAGCACATCACAGCAGAATCATTAAATGCTGTGCAGCCGAGTGGGCGAGTGTATGTCAAGTCAAGAGTGGGTAAGAGCCGTTTTTTCTCTTTTTGACTGAAAAAAAAAAAAAAAAAAAAAAAAAAAACAAAAAAAATAGCTGAGATGACCAAGTTCCAGTCGCCGTGTGTCCCGCATGCACAATGTCTTCAAGCGACGTTTTTGAACTTTCCCAAACTTCTGGACAAGCTTTACAATGGAAATGCTCTTGCTCTTGTAATATTTTTGTATATATATATTTTTTGTTTAATTTTATTGCTGCTCGCAAAGATTTATAGGAAGCGGCCAGCCACTCGAGAAGTAAGCTGAATAAAAAAAAAAAAAACGAAAGTTCCACTCTGCAAGTGTTCGAAAAGCAACTGAATTTTCTTTCTCCACAAAACAATTGAAAGGTACTTGGCAAGGTAAACAGCGCCTACAAGCGGCTGCTGCCGTTACAGCGCCTGCTGCTGCTGCTGCTGCAAGTCGTCTCAATTGCTGCTGTTCTGAGCTCAGTCAAGACAATGGTTCCATGTCTATATCAGGCAATGCAATCGCAGAAACAGTAGAGCCAGCAACAATGCTTGAAAACTTCTTTAACGCTTTTTCTTGTTGTTGTTTTTTTTTTTGGGGCAACTGTTCATTAATTTGATCGCATCATTTTGAAAAATGCAGCCCATAGGAAATTACGGCTCATCCGGTAATTATTGGTTTGCCTGGCCCTTAAATCTTGATAGATAGATCTTCGACATTTGTAAGTACTTAAGTCTACGCACACACACACATACACAAACATACTCAGACACACTCGTTGCCCACATCGTCTCAGCGCCGGCAGCTCAAATGAATTCGCTGCGTCGAGCTTGTCTACAGGTGTATCTAATGTTTCCCTTTCATGTTACAATATGGGCGTCATAATTGTAATTTAGTTAAGATGATCAAGTGTTGAGACATTACCAAATGACAGCAGCTTTAGAAAGCCAACAAGAAGTTAGCAACAATAACAAATGACTCTATCACTTCAATATGAAAGGAAGTCCAAATTTCTTGATAATAACAAATGCACTGAAGGAAGCTTTCCAATCAATCAAGCCAACAAAACCATAATTGGGTGTTTGCTCTATGAGCATTGATAGAGGTTTTTCATTTGTGGTTTTTGGAAACTGAACAGATTCAGAATCTGATGGATTATGATTGCTGGTCTATTTAGGAGAGAACTGATGTAAAGCATCCATCGCTTGTGAGCAGGTCAAGCAAGTCACTTTTGGACGGCTTAGGAATGTTTCTTGATCGCCTGAAGGTCATAGCCAAGGCAAAACTTGATCATATTGTGTCAAATGAATTAATTCTGAATTTCTGATTATCTTCAGATATGA